CTAAGCCCCTCCCTGGCCCAAGGCAGGCAGGCAGGGGTGGGGAGAGGCAGGGAGGAAGCAACTTACCCTCCCTCTTCTCCTGCCTCCTCCTGGCTGAATGAGGGCCGGAAGCGGGGCGGCAGGAAGCAGGGGGCGGGGCTTCGTCATGTGCCCCGCCCCCCCGTACCTCACCCGGGGGAACTGCGATCCCCCACGCTCCCCCCCGAAATGACCTCTGGGCACCTTACCTTTTTGTTGGCGTCGGTGGAAAGTGCCCTCAAGTCACAGCTGACTTACAAACCCCTTGGGGTTTTCAAGGCAAGAGACGGTCAGGGGCGGTTTGCTGTTCCCTGCCTCTGTGTAGCGACCCTGGTATTCCTTGGAGGTCTCCCCTCCAAATACTAGCCAGGCTGTCCCTGATTGGCTTCCCAGATCTGACAAGATCTGGCTTGCCTGGCCTATCCATGAATGTAGGAGAACCACTGTTCACTTTAGATGTGTGTTGACTCCGAAACCAAAACTTTCCAGGACAGAATATAGCCACATACAAATTGTTACAAACTCTCTATGGATGGCTGTTAGCCTAACCTACCTCACAGGGTTGTTGTGAAGATGAAATACGAAGAGGGGGGGTTTGTTCAGCAGCCTGAGCTCCTTGGAGAAAGGGTGGGAGAGTTCAGAACAAGGGCCAGTTTTAACACCGAGTGAGAAGGGGCGATCGATCCGTGTGTGTCTGGGTGACGACAGAACAGTTCAGCAGATAGAATTCCTGCAGTTTTGTAATGCAGAGTTTAAGGGCAAGTGGTCAGAAGAACGGGCCTGGAGGCTTGTAGCTGTTCCCATGTCATGCATTTGAAACAAACCGACTTGCTGGGTGAACAGGATTGCCAAAGCTGAAACTGATCATCTGGAACACCAGGCATGTGAATGAGCACTTTCTCCAGCCCTGATTTCTTTTTGTGCAGGGCTTTTGGGGCCCTTTGAAACGAGGCTCCTAAACTGGAGTCGCCGTCCGGGGTCAGAGGTGATTGTGGGAAGCAGCAGCAGGTGACTCACCTCACACCATCCCAGAGGAAAACCGGGCTGCTGGCACCCGGCCAGCCCTTTTCCATCCCGCCTTCTCCAGTCCCCAGATCACCTCTCCAG